CAAAGATATTAGCGGTTAACATTTTAGCATCTCAAAGATACCACTATTAAAAATTTTTGCATTAAAAGAATTTCTCATTAATATTGACGAAATAGAAAGAGAAATTAAATCGACGCTCCAGTTACTCGAAGTCAGCAATTTCAAAATTTCCATAATCTTCTCTTTTCTTTTAACCCCGGATAGATTCTCCACGGTATATTAACGAAAAAAAGAAACCCACGATCGACACTTTACTGACTTAAAGTCCTAGCTACCAAGAATCTACAAAATTCTCGTAGTTTATTTTTCATTCTTAGATAGATATCCGAATATATTGATTTAATGCAAGAGTTTTGACGTTGTAGGAACGTGGTTCATAAAAAATTTTATCTTTGAAACAAATTGCATTTGTTTTCAAAGCACTACAACGTGTAGAAAGGACACTTCTTTCTTCGCTTTCACTTAGTTTTGGTTCAGCCAGCGAACAGTTGAGAACTCTTCGTTTTATTTCTTATAAAAAAACGTCGAAAAGTTTGCATCAACGAAATACATTACTAAGAAAGAAACACACATCCACGATCAACACTTCGGCAACTCAAAGTTAGTGCTCCCAAAAATCTTAAAAATTCCTACATTTCATCATTTTATTCTCGGAATATCTACTTTAACATACATTAATCCTGCTAGGTTCTTTGGGAGTTTTACGATCCACTCATGTTTTTATTTTCCTAGCACCATTTTGTTTGTTTACTGTTTTCCAATTCAGTTACTTTCGAATTCTATCAAAGGTACTTCCAAATTATGCGATAACATGAGAAAATTATTATTAGCTTATAGTTTATAAACTTATAAACAGCACTGGGTTTAAAAGAAAGGTTAATAAGAAAGAAGGAAAAATCTTTGATAAACTGTAAAGAAAAAATCGAAACCTCAATAACCTATTTGCATAAATTTTACAAGCAACCACGAAACAGTCAATTTCACTGCTCAATGGTTTCAGTATCAGTAAGAAAGGAACGAAAATCCTCGACTCAAACTGTTTTCAAGAATGCTCAAAGCTTCTGCACGATATCATTTTACTCACAGGAAAACGCTACAACCTGTGTCGACAAGAAAAAAAGTATCATAAACTCCAACGGAAAAGCTGAAGCTTCAATGAAACTGTTTGCATAAATTTGATAAGCAACCGCGAAACAGTCCATTTCTCTGCTCGATGATTCCAGTATCGGCAAGAAAGAAACAAAAATCCTCGACTCAGACCGTTTTCAAGAACGCCTGAAACTCCCGCTCGTTATCATTCTACTCGCAGATAGTCAGTGCAGCTTGCACCGGTAAGAAAGAAAGAGAAATCCGCGATCGACTGCAACGGAAAGTGCAAGGTTAGGTTACGTCGTCGACGGACAGACGGATCCATCGCGTACAACGAACGGATGAAGAGAGACCGCGGGAGCGAGCGAGAGATCGAGTGGGAGGGAGCGAGTGGTTCGAGGTTAGTCTCGTGAAATATGCAAGCTGCAATCACGTCCCTCGAATAGAAAAGGTCAGAAACAGAGAGATGCCAGTGGTAGAAGGAGAGAAAGGGAGCAGAAAGATAGAGAGAGGGGATGGTGAGAGTGAGAGGGTTGAGCGCGGAAACCGGCGGCGGGGGTAGACAGAAAGAGAAAGGGAAAACGACGGTTCTCTCCGTTGAAACGTGGAAAAGGGAAAGGGGGAAAGAATGGCGAGAGCAGCGAAGGATGATA